TTCCTTTGAGAATGGACTCAGGCCACCTTTTTTCAGCTGCTTACCCTGGAAAAGTGTCCTGTCCTACATCCCAGTGATAACATGTATGACCTAAAGTCCCATGTCATGTTAAATGATTACCATCCTCTTAAAACAACAGAGTTTGGTTCCTTTTGTTCAGCTTCCTGGGCAGTACTGGGTATTGGTTGTCTTATTTTCAACCTACTTAATCATAGAATCATAGAATAGTTAGGGTTGGAAAGGACCTGAAGATCATCTAGTTCCAACCTCCCTGCCACAGGCAGGGGCAACTCACACCAAACTATGTCGCCCAAGGCTCTGTCCAGCCTGGCCTTGAACACCACCAGGGTTGGAGCATTCACAACTTCCTTGGGCAACCCATTCCAGTGCCTCACCACCCTCACTGTAAAGAACTTCCTTATATCTCATCTAAACTTCCCCTGTTTAAGTTTAAACCCATTACCCCTTGTCCTATCACTACAGTCCCTAATCAAGAGTCCCCAACATCCTTGTAGGCCCCCTTCAGATACTGGAAGGCTTCTCTTCTCCAGGCTGAACAGCCCCAACTTTCTCAGCCGGAAAGGAACTGGCTTTAAGGAGGCTCTCCAGGACACATTATTCAGTGCAGTTAAGTGATCTCAGAAGGCCTGATGAACCTTTCCAGCTCTAACATCTCCAAGCTCTAACAGCTCCAACATCTCCAAGCTCTAACAGCTCCAAGCAGAATCAGCTCTTTCCAGCAATAACAGCTCCAAGTAGAATCAAAGTGCACATCACTCCCCAGCACTCTTGCCAATGTAAATGCCGTGTCAGAAGAACTGAGTTTAGTCAGCTCACTGAGCTTCTGCAACTAATTACTCTGAACCTGGGCAAGCCCCAGTGGCAGTATTACCACTTTAAATACCACTGGCTCTAAGATAATGAACTGTATAGGGCCCAGAAAGGGCTCAGGTCTTCCTGCTACCAGGGCAGTTATTTGTAACACAATAATCAGGCTGCTAACAGTCTGATATAACAGTTAATTTCTTTCATTGTACTTATTTCCTTATCTCAACAAAAAGATGTATGAATCACCCAATGTTATTCACTCAAGTAACACTATTCTCAACTAGTATCTTCATTTGTATTTATGCCACCTTCACCAAGAAACTCCTAAAATCTAAATTACAGTGAAAAGTGCTTAATTTTGAGGGAGGATTTATCTTTGTTTACCTATAACCACAAGCTGAAAGAGACCAATACAAAACAGAAAAGAACAGAGACCTAGATAGGATGTTTGAAATAACTGCTGCCAATGAAACTCCAACAGACAAAGAAATTCTAGAATTCTGAACTGTAATAAGCAGTAAATAAATTAGTGTTAAATTATATTGTTGGTATTAATTATTTCATCTGCTTTTGCCGATTACTTTGTTGTTCTTGTCAACTTGGAAAGCCTCCACTGAAATAATAAAATACTTAAAAGATAAACACCTTATTTTATTATGGTAGACAACAAAGTATTTTTGTACTTAGAGGTGTGTGTCCCCTGCTGCTGCTTTCCGTACCTCAGCTACATTCTGAATTTAATTGTGCTTTGAAACAGTAATTACCATTTACCAGCCACAGAAAACTATGTCTGCATAAATGACGAGTTGGGTTTGGGTTTTTTTAAGCTGCACAAGAATTTAAAACCCACCTATGCACTGATCTTTGGAAGGAAAAAAGGGTATAATATGCTAAATCCACTTTTAGCATCAAGATGACATTTTAGCATCCAGATGACACAGTGGGGAAAGAAACAGCTAAACTAAAGGAAAAGAATGAAATGCAAAAACATACTGTGAAAATATGAGCAGTGCTATAAAAGTAAATGCTAAAGGACACCACAGGGTAAGTTCTCCATGCTTTTAAGGAAATTACCACAATCATGCTTTAGGAATCGGTCAACAAAAAAATCCATCAGTGGTTGCCTTCCCACAGACCTGTACATTTTCCTGGGAGAAGTGACTTCCAGCAGACTTTGCCTCCTCTGTTACTAGGGGAATTGAGTGGAGCAGTATCTTCATTAACGATGCTGTTACAAAGTGATTTCTCCATTTAGGCCTCCTCAAGTTGGAAGGACTTTTTAGAGACATTTGATTTGTATTTGGCTTTGCCACAGGAAGCACCCCTAAAAGCTCCTAAAAGTCTATACCAGAGTCAACATGCTGCCTCAGATCAGTTTGTTCAATGAGACAAATACTTGACTATTTAAGAAAAGCAAGGTTATCCAGTCAGACTTCATTCAGACTAGATTAGTTGTGCTGGGAGCTGCCCTACCTGTTAGCTCTAGCTGTAACATTAACACTTACTACTGGAAATTCTTTTCTTCTCATAAAGCTCGTGTTAGGTAAAGTAATCTTTGTCAGCAAAGGTTATTGTTTGTATCACTACAAAACTGAACCTACACTAGAATATACACTGGTACAGCTGTTAAACAACAAAAACCTCCACTCAAGACTCCCTTTGCTATTGGAGCCAAGCTTCTGGAATTTTAAAGCTGTTTTATGCTGCAATATTTTGCAGAGTCATAAATTTCACTGTAAGTTTCACAACAAAGCAAGTTTTAATTCACAGGAGCTCATCAGGTCAGTTTCCCTAGAAACAATTTATTTACAAAGAAAATAAGGAAGTTATGACAAACTCCATCATATGTGCATCTCCTCTGTCTGTAAACTGACATAATATATGGCAGATCAGTCCTGCTTCTGAAGTTGTCTGATCCTGACTCTGAGATATAATATACACGCTTGTAATTTTTATTTATTTCACATCAAATCTAGAGAGTACGTAACTGAATACAGAAAGCATTTTTTAATTCAAAATGTGCATGGCAATCTAAAGGCAGTACTATAAAAACACCACAGTGAAGTCTGATTTATATATACAACTCTAACAGCCAGAAAAGATTTAATTAAGTACGTAAACATTCAGATATTTTTAAAAAATTCAGATCAATCTATAGAGTATCTGGAAATAAGTCACCAAGAAAGGTCTCAATAGTTTAAGCTCTACTATTGTCTGCAGCACAGTTTTTTCCGGGGCTATACTTCAGTATCCTTACCAGTGGTGGCCCTCCCAGGAATATTGTTCCCTGTTTGCCAACAATAATACTTTCATCAGCCATTGCAGGTACGTACGCTCCTCCTGCTGTACAGGATCCCATTACTACTGCTATCTATTGGGAAAACAAAAAACACAAGTTAATGAATTGTCCAACCCTTAAAAACAGCAAATGCACTTGATACTATTATATATTGTACTGATCTTAACACAGTTTCTGGGTCAGCACTGCAAGATTATTTCTATCTGACAAGAGCAAACTTTCCATTTATATTTAAGCTTTTCTTAAAAAATAGGGAATATATCTTGTTTTCTACAGTCTCTTAAACTGTGATTTTCAGGCTGCCCTGCAGGAAAGTTCATATATGAAGTACCCTGAACTACATACGTGGAATGTTTGCAGAGGCACACATTCTACCATGAAACGTGTTTTTATTAATGCATGGTAAAAGTTTGAAACATAAAGGTTGAAACCTAAAGGTTGCTCCTGGAATTTATGCCTCAGTCAGAGTCAGAGTTTCAGTTGCTGCTTACTGGCCTAATTTCACTAACATTAACATCCTTTATTTCTCACATCTAATAGTATGTAACTTCAGTTCTTCAATGAATAAACTAATTAAGACTGCCCCTTCAAGGTGTGTTATGTCGTTATGGGCTTTAGCATGAATAATCTCTGCTTTATCCTTTTGCCTAATTTTGAGAGGAACATCTAGCCAATGAACATTTTCTACCAGTAATAGTTTAGTGACACTTTCACAAAACTGACTTGACACCAGATACGGTGAAAACTGTAGCAGCGTATGATCACGAAAATGAAGTTTCTCACTTAACTTCGCCTTCAGGGGAGCTCCTCCAAAGACCCTTTCAAAACAGCTTGTAAAGTGGAAGAAATTGAATACTCATATGGTAAAGGCAGACAGTAAGAAACGCTTTCTTGCACAACCACAACTACAACTCTCCCCCAAAATAATGTTATTTTATGTTGACTTTGGAAATATTTCTAAAGCAACATCTAACAGAGCTCTGCGTTAAATGATAACTTAATGTTTGCTCTTAAAAGAAATAAATACAGAAAAATACACAGAAATAAATCTTCCAAATCACATTACCTGTATCTGAAGGAGGAGTAGATGAACTATACCAACCTGCTATGATCAAATTGAACAGCTTTTTCAGTCATGCGATTAATCTGCATTATTTGTATTGTGCATTTAATAAGCACCTCGTAGTAAATACGAGTAACATAAGCCCCTAAAAAATGGAGAAACTTGAGGAAAAAGTTAATTCTATTTTTTCCCCAGGATTTTTATTTTTTCCTACTCTTAATTTTACCATGTCCATGCTGAAAAATGTGCCTGCATTTAAACTTTAACTTAGGTGTCACTTTTTCTAATATATAAATTAGAATATGTATATACTGAAAAAAACCTCAAAATCTACCTGTCAAATAGCACAACCTTGAATTCCCAACTAATGTTCTACTTCCTGACTTCCCTGAATTACTGCATAGGAAATTACTGAGGAGCCCAATAATAATCAAGAGTTCTGAATGCACACAAAGTATTTCATACCCACTGATCAGCTCTCCGTTGTATCCATGCAGCATACGAGTGCGAGATTGCTTAGGAAGCAGCTAATGAGAAGCTAATCACAGCTTTCTGATTCATAGCCACACAGACATCAATGCAATTTAAAGCTGCAGTAGGAGTATATTAGTCACAGGTAAAAGTGGAGGGAGAAATTAAAAGCACCACAGGCAATTGGGTGGGGAAGGAAAGAAAAAAGAAAAAATAAAGCACTTTAAAGGCAATATTGAGAAGGGCTGATGAACTGATGGAAGAGACCTTCAGGCAGGACACAACACAGAACAGCAGGTAGAAAACTAACCACATCCACGATCCCATGTCAGAAGAATTAACCAAAAGGGAAATCAGAGGGAGCACAATTTCCTAACACCACTTCCAAATGAAACATCCTCTCAGACAGGGAAGATGACCCTAGCTACACAGACTGTTAGCACACAATCACTATTGGATTTACAAATGTTGTTAGTGCCTTTTTGAAATGAGACTAAGGATAGAAACATCTCCCGAACAAAATACACCTGTATTACATTCTTTAAATGAAGGAAGCACTTCCATAAAACATTTTCACAGTCTTCCATAAATATTTTAAGAAAGTTACCCTATCATACCATAAAAGAAATGTGTTTTATTAAAAGCCAAATCTTTCCTACACTTAGCTTTTATTGTACAGAAGTACGATGCTACTCCTAATAAAACACAGTATGGTAATCAAAATAAAAACAAATTCAACTTTATAAGGAATTTCCTGAATTATATTCCTGAATATCTTGAAGTTGTTTCAAGATATTCAGGAAAACACCAGCATGACTTCAGGGCCAGGCATTTCTAGAAAGGTCCTGTCTCATGTCAGTAATTTTAGCCTTGCAAACTAGTTTTACATATCCCTCGTTGATATAACATCTAAAAATCGCTACTCCCATATCAGATTGTGACTGCACTCTCTAGCGAAACTGCTTACCAAAGCTTCTCCTAAGAAGGTAATTCAGCAAAACATCTCTGTGACTGTCTCCTTTGACACTTGCTGTTCCATAAAAATACCTGGACAAATTTTATTCACACATATGAATCCAGAGCACAACCTAGACCTGTCAGTGACTCTGCATGATGGCCAGCTTGCAAACTGTCTTTTTTCCTGAATATTTTTGTTCTAACTGAACAGTGGAGATCTAGTTTATTAGTGCAATTGCTCCACTTTCACTGTGGGAAACAGTGAACTGTTTCCCACAAACAAAAGAACTGTAGAAGTTAAATTATGTCAGACTTTATGAAGGGATTTAAGTGTGTTGTTGGAATTTTCAGCCTTCGACTTCTCTGGAGGCGACAAATTTCAGGATTCTTTGGTAGAGAAAAAGATGGTTAAAGATACAAAGTCTGACTTGTTTCCAAAATACGCCAAAAAGGTACCAAGGTAATAAATGTAGTTTCCTCAGAAATCATACACAGGCATGTAAAAAGGAGTTGGAATACTCTATCCTTGACCAGTGCATTTGCGTAACACTGAAAGGAAATAGTAGCTTCTACTTCTTCTTTTGGACTAGGGGATTCAAACAAGCAGAGCATCTCACAGAGAATAAATAAAAATGGTCCCAGCCCAACTATGCCTCTCAATGACATGTTGGTAAGAATGAAAAGAATAATGTCCTGTTTCCACTTTACATTAGTGATGATTTCAACAGTCAAGTATGTCATGGAAGTGGAAACACTTCCACAACAGCACTCAAATGAAACAGCAAGTTAACTAAACTTCTACGCTTCTTGAGGTTCCACCACCTATTTCTAAGCCTAATGTTCTAAACCATTTTTTTTTCTCAAATGTAATATCCTGAAAATTTCCTTCACCTTCTTTCATCCAGCCACTATAAAGTGATAAGCATTGATTTAACAAGTACACCTAGGAGAAGGCTCTTGAAATTAAGATAATTCAGTGAAATCATCAGCTCACTGCTCAGCAGTCAAAAAAATATCACAAATGTTAAGAACTACTGGCAATGGAATAACAGAATAACGTATCATTATGCTGTTTTATATATACCCATCATTAGTTGACATACTGAGCAGTGCAGTCTGACTCCTTCATCTCAAAAAAGATATGAGACCTGAGAAAAGATATTCTAAGACTGTCATGGATATTGAACACTTTCTGTAGGAGGAACAACTAAGCAAGCTGGAATTCTTTAGCCTGCAAGGAGGAGTACAAGGCTGGTAAATGAGAGGGCTATGCAACCGTATGAAGAGAATGGGACCTGACTGACTAGAGAGCAACTCTGTACGAATGACCTGATTGCCTGCTTTCCTGAAGCATTTTCTTTATTTGGAGGAGGTTACCTTCAAAGACAAGTCTCCTCCACTCTCCCTGGCAGCCTCTCACAAGTACCTGCTGACAATTCCCTTAACAAGCCCAAGATTATTATTCTGGAGTCCAGGGTCTTCATCCTGCTACCTACCTTCCTCACCTCCCTCGGGACCTATACCCTGCCCTCCACTTTCATTGCAGACAAAGCTGCCAATAACAATCACACCCTCAAAAGGTCTACATTCTCCATGACTAATAGATTCAGGAGTGCACTTCCCCTAGCACTCCACCTGCGTCAAGAACTGACCCCAACATACTCCTGAAACACCCATGACACAAAACCACTTCTAAATCCAGGAACTATGACTAATAGTAATTCTATGCATTGTTAATACATTAGAAAATAACCTCATTCTTAGGGCAGTTTTACCTTACAGCACATCAGTACATAAAATGGATATATAAATATATGTATAGCCCTATCAGTAGAATGTATGTCTCATTTACTAGCCATTATCACAGGGGTCCTCACCTTTATAGTGTTGATGAAGAACAGTAACTGTTGCAAGAGATTTCCTAATGCTTCTTCATATGACCCTACCTATCATGTTGTCAAGTCTCCTTCCCTCCCACTCCAAGAGAGAAACAGGTAGGTCATGTCATTAACACTACAGCAAAGAAAGAAGATGGTTTCTCCAAAATTATAAATGACTTCTTGTGGACAGTTACTGTGTCTACAGTGCCTCCAGTCTCCAGACCAGGCCATCAGGTCAGCACAACACAGTGCTGTCAAAAACAAAGCATGAAACCAGATGAAGGCAGCAAGCATAAAAACTAATTAGTGCATTTCATTCTGAAGTAAAAGCAAGTTACCTGAGGGATTCCTAGTGAGGACATGACTGCTTGATTATAGAAAATACGGCCAAAATGATCTCGATCTGGAAATACTTCAGCTTGCCGAGGTAAATTTGCTCCTCCTGAATCAACTAGAGTAAAGGAAAATATATTAACATGTCTTTGAACAGTGTTATCTAAGTTTTTAATAAAGTATCTGCATGTTACAAAATACACAGCAATTACTATCACTATCTCCACGAATCTAAGTATATTAGGATATTCTTGAAAAAAGCAAAAAAAGGAATATAGTAACACACACACACACACACACGAATAACAACCCTTCTAATGGAAAATAAATTCAGGTATGCTTGGAGATGCAACCATACCTCCCTATACAACCTTCTAAACTCATCTTACTGCAAAACACTTCAACTAAGAACATTTTCAATATACAACTTCAAACGCAATTATTCTATTGCAATTCTCTCACAAGTTCCAGAAAGGGCAACACTTGAGCTCAAGAGGCATAGCATGTGTACTTTCACACCTTGATTATATGGACATATCAAAGATCTTATACTATCTCTAGGAACCTTCATTTATTATGTGTCCTTGCCTCATGGTCTGCCCTTTGGCTTACAGGTCCCCAGCTGCAGCTACCTTTCCACTCCCAAATAAGGGAATTACACCATGTTGTAAGACTCTGAAAAAGGGCAGAAGACTAGAAGGAAATGCAGAGGGAGGCCAAGCATATCAGAACTCTGGCTCTTGGCAATGAATCCTCACCTATGTCCACACGCACATTCTCGTGTTACGTGACTGCAGCCAGTAATGCCCTAGATTCAGCTTTACCACGAAGCAGGGTTTTCATTCTTAGCCCTACCCTTGCAGAACCACTCTCCCAAATCAGCATCAAGACAAGTTCCAACCGGGTCAACACACCAGTGTTGTGAAACGGGCCATCCCTTAACACAAAAGAAGATGCCCACATCAGTATCATCAGGTGCCTGCATCAGAATTAACACCTAAGCAGCCACCACGGAGGGAAAAGGCAGTTCAAATGGCATGAAAATTACATGGTCAACAAAGCACTCCCTCTTGACTGCACAACAGAAAGGAAACGAGTAAGAAAAAGGTGATACAGTGGCACAGTTGCATTTGTACCTTATGAACCCAGCCCTACAGCAGTGCAGAATATAGTGTTGAGAAGCTATGGGTACCTGCCAGTTAAGACTTGCCACCAATCTGCAGAGGTCACACAGTACTGTTAAAATGCATTTCAGTATGTGTGTCTAAAATACATACCTGGTTAGTCAAATCTGGGGACACATCAGTCTCCAAAATGCTTATTTAAAGAAGCTGCATCTTATCCAGACATCCCCAGCTCCCCTTAACAAAGCACATTTGCTATTTCTGCAACGGGACTTACCCAAATACAGGCAAGGGAGATGATTTTGCATTGCAATTTCTTGAGCTCGTAAATGTTTCTTAACAGTGATGGGATAATAGGTACCACCTTTGACAGTTGCATCATTAGCAACAATCAAGCATTCCACCCTGAAAATAAACAACTTGATGAGAGCGAAAAATATTTCTAACAGGTAAGTATGTCTGTTGGTTAACAACTGCAACACGCCATGGACTCTCGAAGTCCTGATGCTCAAAAAGAGTCCTCCTCACCTGCACTCCACCAAATGAACACTGTATCTGCAGTCTCAGCACTATGATGTCCTACTTCACAGTCCCTCAACTCCCTAAAATAAAGCTCTATAGCATCGTATTTAATTTCAACATCAGTTTTGGAGGTACTTTTAATGAGCAAAACGAATTCTTAGCCATAGCGATCTACTGATATACTAATCTCTATCCTTCACTGGACACCAGAAACTCTGTATTTGTTCTGCTTTAACATGGGACACACTAATTAAAAAAATATATATAAATCACTTCCTTTTAGCTAAGACTGAATAAATTAAGATACCAACGTTGATGATTTTTTCTGGGTCAAAACTGAAAGACTAAGAAATGCTAATAGCTTAACACCGGAAACTGAACAAAATTATACCTTCTTCCTTTTCATATCATCAATAATGTAGATCACTGGTATCTCTCACCCAGAAACTCGTCCAATGCCTGTGATAATGCCTCCTGCTGGTACTGCTTCATTACCATACAACTGGTAACCTGCAAACTGGGAGAACTCCAAGAATGGAGACCTGAATGATGACAAACAGAACACAATTTCAAAAAGGAACTGTCCATATTTGTCATTGAATCTGATTTCAAAGGTTAAATTTTTAAAATTATATTTATTTTTTTTAAAGAGGTGACTATTTTGAAGAACACTGTAAAATCTCAACTGTGTAATTCGCTGGTGTTTATGGAAACCAAAGAAAAAACAAGCCTATTGAAGAATTTACCCACAAAAGAGAACCTAAAATGTTTTTAAAAAAACGAAGTTCCTACCCAGGATCAATAAGCCTGTCAATTCTCTCTCTGGGTAACAGTTTTCCTCTTGATGTATGAAGTTTACGAGCTTTTTCTCCACCTCCTGTGATACAATAGTAAATTGTTAGATTTACAAAGGACACAGATAAATCACCACTTGTATTAAAACTTCAAATGGAAGCACTGATGAGTTCCCAGTTTTGAAGTATGGACCTTAACAACAAATTTAATAAATAATGGTTTCTACTTCAAACAGATTTAAGTTATTGATAAAAAAGCTTGCTTTTCAGAATCTACTCAATTTTCCCCCTCATTTTTGATAGTGGTCTGGAGGTACATATTTTAATAAACAGCTGTCTGAAACTTTCCCCCACTGCTTGGCAACAAACCGAAGTGCTGAAAACACAAACACACAGACAAAGGCACAGCAGTAAGAACTACTTACTATTCCCCCAAATTGGTTCAAAATAGCTATGCTGATTCCAGTCTTGAAAGACTCAACACAATCTGGATTCATTTCCTTAGATCACTCCAAAACTGTAAGAAGAGCTCAGACACACAGCATTTAATATCAAGTGTATCTTTGCTTCATTTCAACCCTTTACTGGAGGTCATCCTAAATCATATCTTTTGCTCTCTAGAGCTTTCTGTCATTCAACACCTAAGATTTGTTGACACACTTCAAGCCTCTTTACAACAGCTTATACAAACATTGTCTCTCTGTGTAGACAGATCACTGATCCACCTCATCAGTCTAAAACTGTCTCCTATGTCCAAGATAAAAAAGTGCTATTTTGCTCGCATTTCTCCTGAGACTTCAAGATTTATTTGTCATCTAAGCATCACTGAAACAGAGCTTTTAAGCCTACCTTTCAAGCCTGTTCTCTCACCTCCTTCCTTGATCACTACACACATCATTTCCTACCCGTTAGGCATGCCAGAAACCCCACAATTTATTTCTGATTGAGCCGGTTCGTTAGGTCTGTGTATCCAGCCTCAGTCTCAATCTTGAGAATTCTTTCTGTACAAGTTTCTTAAGATACTACCTCTCATATCCACCTACAAAGCTAATACTCCCATCCAAATTCTCAGCATGTCACATCATATTTTCCTGACCTCCACCTTGCCTTTCTCATTTACACCCACAGTGATGCTGCAAAAATTATTTCCCATCCTGTGACTTTCCTTATCTCTGTACACTTCCATTCTTTACAAATGAGTCATAAATGCTTGCCCTCCAGGCCTTGTAGCCATTCTATTGAATATTTCTTGACCAAGATCAAGACCTTTGATCTACCCTAAACTGACATCTATTCTGTAGACTGAGAAGCACCACCCCTGGTAATGGACCAAATTTGGAGGCATTTAATTTGAAATTCTTTCTTTAATTTCTCCTTTACAGTAATGTCTGTAAGAACTTTACTGTGATTGCTGATGTGCTATGATTGCTGTTAGCCACAGAGACTAAAAGTATCTCAAGTCGCTTCTTGTGCTTGTTATCAGAAATCCATCTGTTGTAATTTATCATAGCCTGTAAATTCAGTGATGGCAGGGGCCATCTTCCTGTTGCACAGCTGAGACTACACAGTAGAATGGGCAAAGCAATCTTAATCGATGTCACTCAAAATGGTGTGTTAACATCCTGGTGGAGTTCCCCTCGATGGAGGAAAGATGAGAGCCATGTTCTTGTCCTATTATCATATAAAAGGCAAGAAAAGGGAAACAGCAGTGAAGACAGACTGATCATTATCTCATGACCCGCACAGGGAACTGCTGAAGTCTCTACACCCATAAAACAGAGGCAGTCCAAGTGTTTCAGCATCTCCTCAGGATATCCTGGAGCTTTGCTGCACAGCAAGCAAAAAAACTAAGCACAAAATCTTAACTATGCTTTATTCCAAAGCCATAATAGAAACTGCATTATATAAAAAACCATATATGAAAAGACAAACAGTATTATGATGGAAACAAGAAGGGAAGAATTAAAGCCGCATGCTCAATCTCTGGCAGCAAAGTTAAGCATTTATAAACCATTTTAAATTTATCGTCCACATTAATTACGGTAAACTACAATTAATTCAGGTAGTCTTAAAAGGATGAAACAGATTTCAATCTTTTAAACTATTACAGACTTGCTTTTGTTTGCCAGCAAAAATACAGCTCGGGTCTTTGAAAAGACCCTGACATAAAAGACAGTAAAAAATGTTTCTGTAAATACACTAGCAACAGAAGGAGGGCTAAGGAGAATCTCCCTCCTTTACTAGATATGGGTGGAAACATAATGACAAAGGATAAGGAAAAGGCTTAGACACTTAATGTCTCAGCCTTTAACAGTAAGACCTGTTCTTCCCTGGGTACCCAGCATCCTGAGCTGGAAGACTGAGATGGGGAGCAAAATCAAAACCCCCATAATCCAAGGGGAAATGGCCAGTTACCTGCTACACCACTGAGACACACACAAGCCTATGTGGCTGGATGAGATGCACCCAAGGGTACTAAGGGAGTTGGTGCAAGTGCTCACCAAGCCACTCAGTCATTCATCAACAGTCCAAGGGGTCCCAGTGGACTGGAAGTTAGCAGATGTGACACCCACCTACAATAAAGGCCAAAAGGAAGATCTGAGGAAGCCTGTCAGCCTGACCTTGGTTCTCAGGAAGGTTATGGAGCAGATCCTCTTCAGTGCCTTCATGCAGCATGTACAGGACAACCTAGTGATCAGGCCTTGTCAGCATGGGTTTATGAAAGACAGGTCCTGCTTGACTGACCTGATGGATGTTGTTTACCCAGACTTTAATAAAGCCTTTGACACTACTTCCCACAACATTCCTCTGGAGAAACTGGCTGCTCATGGCTTGGATTCATGTACTCTTCGCTGGGTAAAAAACTGGCTGGAGAGCCAGGCCAAAGTGTTGCGGTGAATGGAGTTAAATCCAGCTGGTTGCTGGTCACAAGTGGTATTCCCCAGGTCTCAGTACTGGGGCCAGTTCTGTTTAATATCTTTATCAATTATCTGGATGATGAGATCAAGTGCACCCTCAGTAATGTGCAGATGATACCAAGTCGGGGGTGTCACTTTTAGAGTAGGCGGGCTCTACAGGGAGATCTGGACAGGCTGGATCAATGGGCTGTGGCCAGGGTATGAGGTTCAACAAGGCAAAGTGCCAGGTCCTGTCTCTGGCCCACAACAACCCCATGCAATGCTACAGGCTTGGGGCAGAGTGGCTGGAAAGCCGCTCAGCCTAAAAGGACCTCGGGGTGCTGACTGATGCTGACTGAACATGATCCAGCTTGTGCCCAGGTGACCAAGAAGGCCAACAGCATCCTGGCCTGTATCAGCAATAGTGTGTCCAGCAGAGCCACGGCAGTGATCATCCCCCTGTACTGGGCACTGGTGAGGCTGCACCTCGAATCCTGTGTTCAGTTCTGGGCCCCTCACTGCAAGAGAGACATTGAGGTGCTGGAGAGGGTCCAGAGAAGGTCAACAGAGCTGGTGAAGGGTCTGGAGCACAAGTGTGATGAGGAATAGCCAAGGGAACTGCGGGGGTTTAGCCCGGAGAAAAGGAGGCTCAGGAAGACTTTATCACTCTCTCCAGCTACCTGAAAGGAGGATGGAGCAAGGTGGGTGTTAGTCTCTTCTCCCAACTAGCAAGCAATAGGATGAGAGGAAATGGCCCCAAGTTGCCCCAGGGGAGGCTTAGAGTGGATATTTGGAAAAATCTCTTCACCAAAAGGGTTGTCAAGCACCGGAACAGGCTGCTCAGGGAAGTGGCTGAGTCACATCCCTGGAGGCATTTAAGAGACTTGCAGATGTTCTGCATAGGGACATGGTTTAGTGGTGGACTTGGCAATGCTGGGTTAACGGCTAAACTCAATGATCTTAAAGGTTTTTTCCAACCTAAATGACTCTATAAGTCTACGAAAATCCTCTCTGCACATGAAGAGACTAACATACAACTTGAACAGAATCACATTAGCCAAACAAATTTGTCACATAAGCAGGCAGCAGTGGATGAAGCAAGGAAGCAGGTGAAGTGCTTATCAGTAAAAGCCTTTTATTAATAACCCTATCTATTTTTAAAAATTCTTGCCATTAAAGGCATATATTCCATTAAGATTTTAACCATTAAAAATTAACCAATTCTAAATAGGCAAAAAAGTATGTTAAAACACTTAACATTGTGGTAAACAAGGATGTGCTAGTGGCATGGACATTTTTCGTAGCTAGCCTGAGTTACTTAAAAAAAAAAATCTCAACAAACCAACAACTAAATTTTGAACCGTATTAGCTTGGACATAAACCTTTTAAGATTTTCAGATGTCAGGAGCTGGTAAATCTAGATTTAAATAGATAGCTAAAATTTCAGTATGACTACTATAATCCAGCAAGTATGCTGTATCTGAATGAACTGATTAATACATTTATAAGATGGGAAAAATCCAAAGAACAAAACCGGGTTTTGGACTAAACTAAGCAAGTGTTTAGAACAAGTGTTCTAAAATCTACCATACTTACCTAATCTGATTTTTTCTGCTTGCTGTTGGAGTTCGGTTACCAGTGCTTTCATTCGTTCATAGTTTTCCTAAGTGGAGAACAAAACAGCACTTTATATTTAATTGACAGTATTGGTTTTTAATAAACAAGCACAGCAGGTGCAAGATTTATTTCTCTTCCAAATTTCATTTTACCTTATTAAATACTGGCTCTGTGTTGTCTTTAAAGTAATAACATTTCTACCTATGTATTGTCTTTCCTTATGCATCCCAAAGCATTTAATAAAAATACTAAAAAACTCTGGGCGTGCTAGAATTGTAAAAGATTAGTTCCAAATTTAATAAACACAACCAGAATTATCCATTATAAAATACTATTTTTCAGGGTTTTTTTAATTATTACAGGCTTGCTTTTTCAATCTAATTTTGTAAAAAACATCATATGGATTAAATTAAGTGCTACTAATTTATGTCTTATTATATATCCTTATGTCTTACTTTGTGTATTATACCAAAAGATTAATGACCTAGACCACATAGAATTTGGTTCACATTTTTACATTCTTGTTGCTTAGGTAGAACATAGAGATAAAGCTTTTAAAAACCAGAAAAGTCTAGTCTTCTTAGTTGTGAATACGAATGATCCAGTACTGAGCTCACAATTTCTATCAGAAGCTCTGTGTGCTTATTACAGCAGTTGTTTACCCTTTCTTACAAATTAAAAGGTGTTAGTCAAGCTTAATTTGTTGGTTTGGGTTTTTTTCCCAGACATTAATAGCTATGTTACCTCTCTGAAAAGTGCAATTCCATACATACATGTAATAACTGCTGCATTAAAAAAAAAACAAAACACATAACTGCCTTATCCAATTCTCATTTAGAAAATGTTAGAATCTACTTTGACAGAAAAAAAAAAATCTGGTGACTCTTTACATTCAGACTCAAACACTCAAAATTAGTATTTCCCCTAGAAGCAAAATGTTGCAGTTAAGTTTGTTCAGCTCTGCATTGGTCACTGAACGGCACAAAGATGCAAAGCAGGAAGGAATAAAAACACGTACAGGGACACTCTGCATTCAAGCCAGTTTCACCACTGTTGCAGCATCCCAAAAAACCAAGAACAAAACAAGATATGTCGTGTTAATTTGACTCTGATGCTCCTAGGAGAGACTACAGACAGCAACTGCAGCCACACAACCACCAGCAGCACTGAAGGAACCAAAACCTACTTTTAATCCTTTACAAAAGACACTGTTTACAAGTTAACTGTTTTTCCCTGTGAAAAGTCTGTGAAACAGCCATTGTAATTCCACACTTTTAAAAATCTGCAGTTGTCACAACACCCACTTCTACTTATGTGCTCAGCTTGTCCAGCTGGCTCATTTCGCAGCATTACACATATTTTCCCTGATTCTCCTTGTCCAGTCAGCCTGTTTTCTCTAAATACACTCACCTTTTGCACCCAGTACTGAGCTTAAAAACTCACCTTTAACACAGAAAAAAAAAACACCAAAAAACAACAACAAAAAAAAAACCCCAGCACAATAAAAAGAAAAACCCAGCTAAAAATGGCAAAGCAAATTAAAAGGGGCACAGCAATCGCAGGCTTATTAGCTTTTGAATTAACAAAGCCGAGTAGCTACTTTAGCTGCTCTAGATGAAAAACTGTGAAAGGACGATGTAGATTATCTATAAGAAAACCCACTGTGTTCAAATATTGCAGTTGTTTAAATTCACTTAATTTCTATCCTTAGCTTTCATGCCTGTAACCAGACACAGTACTGTTATACTTTACAAAAGAAAAGATGCCCTGAAATCTTACCGCAGGTTTTGAATACGCGCAGGAGGGGCTCCTCTCAGAACCAAGCATACTAGTTCTACCATGTATTTGTGTGCTTTTCATTGATTAATGACAAAAAGACCAGTAAAGTGATGTGAGTTATTCTGGAAACTTGCCCTTGCAGCAGGAAGTTCTGTAAAGTCCTGTTGTTAACCCAAGGGCTTCTAGAAACGCTAAAGAAAAATCAAGAGGCAAAACCTACAGACTAATCCTACAGTTATTACATGAGCTAACTGAATTAGTGCTACATAAACTAAGTGGCTGCAAAATCTAATCCCCGGAATATTTACATAGATTTTCCAGAATTCAGACTCACTTAGATTACATTTTTACTTGTCTGGTTTGAAAGACAGTTTACATTAGGAAGGCAAACGTGTCTAGATGAATTCACAGCCACAAAGGCAAACACTAGCTAAAGAAGACAAGACCTTCAGCACCTATCGTTATGCCTTCATGTGTTTGCACCTTTATTCCCTGTTCTACTTTTATTTCAGATGGTGAAGTGCCTCACAGCAGGGACCTCAGTTCTTTGTGTTTGTAAAGCACCACGTGTTTACAGTGCTCTGTAAATTATTTCTACCAAATTCTAACACCATTAGCTACTTTAAAAAGCCTTGCTTTTGAGATTGAAAGATACACACTCGCAAATCTAGAGACAGCTTAGCTGAGCAAACACATTTATTAAAATACTACTTTTGGGGGGTTTCGGTATGCTGAATGTAAATATACACACATACATACATATATATACACACACACCCACTTCACGTGCACAAGCTTTGTACGCGTGAATAAAACACATACTGAAATTTCACAAAGTTTCAGTCACCTAACTTGTGCCCCCAAGTTTAGTTTCTGCAAAACCAAACACAGAACCAAAGGAACTATTTCAGTCAGAAAGTGTTGCTTCACGTGCTGTTTGACATTTGACTTGGAACAAATGTGAAAAGAAACTCATGCCCTCCTGCCAGTTCTGATCCACACCAAAGTTGTGTTTTTCTCAGCCTAAACTGTAACACAATTTTCATCTTGCATATGATGATGACACTATAAATACGATGCAGCTGATATGCTGTGCTGCATCAGAAGTGTGACCAGCAGGTCGAGGGTGGGATTCTCCCCCTCTACCCTGCTGTGGTGAGACCCACCCTGTAGTACTGCATCCAGCTCTGCGGCTCCCAACACAAGAGGAACATGCAGTCGTTGGAGTGAGTCCAGAAGAGGCCACAGGGATGATCAGGGGGCTGACGCACATCTGCTATGAAGACAGGCTGGTAAGAGTTGGGCTTGTTTGGCTTGAAGAAGAGCAGGCTCTGGGGAGAACTTAAAGCAGCTTCCAGTGCCTAAAGGAACCTACAAGGTATCTGGAGAGGGACTTTTTACAAGCACCTGTAGTGACAGGGCAAGAGGGAATGGCTTTAAGTTGAAAAAGGAGTGATTTAGGTTAGGTATAAGGAAGAAGCTCTATACCGTGAGGGTGGTGAGGCCCTGGCACAGGTTGCCGAGAGCAGCTGTGGCTGCCCCATCCCTGGCAGTGTTCAAGGCCAGGCTGGACTGGGCCCTGAGCAACCTGGTCTAGTGGAAGGTGGGTTCTACCAGGTTGCTCTACTCCGTGGCAGGGGGTTGGAACTAGATGAGCTTCAAGGTCCCTTCCAACCCAAGCCATTCTATTGGATTCTGTGTTAGTAATAGCCCATAAAAAATAAACTAATTTATACCAGATACAAGTACTGTTCTCTTCATAAAGCCAACTGGAATTCCACCTATCCTTCTTGCTCCAAAGATGATTCTTTCTGCTGCTGCTGGCATTCCGATTTAAAAACAAGATGTG